GCTATTGATCCTGTCTTCCAGTAGTCTCAGTCTGGGTACTCCTCAGGAGTAGGCTGCCATGACGTAGAAGGCTGCTGTCCACAGGAGCTGAGGTGTCACTGAACATGGACATGGTGTGACTATCAAATGACGAATGAAAAATGCAGTCTGGTCCTCTGAGCTGCCTCCTCCAGTGTGGGCATCTCAGCTCTCACACACCCTGGCATTAAAAGCCCTGAGTGTGGTACCAGCACCTGGGTGTGGAGACACTTGCCTAGGTGGCCAGTCCCCAGGTGGTGGAGACCTGGGCTGCTTCACTCAGCCAGGTGAGAGCAAATGCCGACATGTGTTGTCCACAGGGCACGCAGTGTTTTAGGGAGGCAGGAGGGTTTGGCGCCCTCTAGGATAATTTGAGACTGAGGTGAAGGGAACTGTGCTGTTCTAGGGTGGTGATGAGGAAGTGAACACTTAGTGCATTCTCACAGCACAGTGTGAGAGGGCACTCACACTGCCCTCCGCAGCAGTATGGTAAACTCTAATACTCTGCCAGTCACTTTGCTTACTATGTGGATTGTTGTGCTGTTTTGAGATAGGTTCTCCTATGTAGTACAGGCTGGACTTGAGCTCACAGTGGAGCCCATGTTGGTCTTGGATCATCATCCTATCTTGCTTGGCTTGCTGAGAGCTGGATGCTACATATGATGTGCACCACCACATTTGGGCTGTCGACTCTTGTCAGAGTCAGATTGCATAACTTGTGGAGTTGTGTTTTGTGTCCTCTCTCCTGTTAATGAACCTGAGCAAAGCAATGTAGTTTGTCCTGCAGCAGTGTCCAGGTGTGGTAATGCCTGCCTGCCATTGTCCCCAGGCTACTTGGAGCTTCTACTCTTGTTACTGCCATACACCAAGGCAAGAGCACTACCTCTGTCCCGCTTTCCCTGCCCTGTTTGTCTGCCCTGCAAGGCCATTGCTGGAAGGCAGCATCTCTTTCAGCTGAGCTAGTTGTGGGTCCCAGATGTAGGCTCATCTAACACAGTGCAGGGATGCTTGCTACCTGGCCTCCAGACTCCTGGCTCCTGCATGGTGTTGCTGTGAGGGGGCAGTGTGTGAAGGAATTGGACCTGTGTCTATGTGTGGTTTTGAGCCCTTCTCTACAACATGGAGACAGGCAAGTCCTTGGGTTACAAGTTTGGGTTGTAGTTAGCTGGTATGAGGCCTAGCTGACCTGATTCTGGGAATGGTGGTGTCAGGGATGCTACAGGTGGAGAGTCCACAAATGAAGCCTGCAGGTGCTACGTGTCTGGGAGGTTCTGAGGCAAAAATTAATGGTGGGTGTTTGGGAGAAATTGGTGTCTAGTGCTCTCCTGCCTAATGATTCCTTTGGTGTGGGGCCTGGCAGGTTCCCCAAGAGCTGCTGTGCACAAAGGGTGGTGGTAGAATGTGGCACTGGGCTTCACACACATCTTGTGGTGTGTTGCTTCTCTGGCGTCCTAAACCCTAGCTCATTCCTTGCAGGGAGAGGGGAGTGGTGGAGGCACGCTTAGGAGCTCCGAGGTAGGCTCCTACGTGGTATCTACCCTGGCTGTGCCTGCTCTGGGCATCCCTGGGACTTTTGGAGACCCTGGTGGCAGAAACCAGCAGCAAGTCCCTTACGTGGAACACGGCGAATTTCAGAGGTGTGTGCCTTAGCAGCTAACCGAAGCCCCCTCCCCTGTTGGTAGGGGGCTGGCATCCTGACACCTTCAGGCAGTGTGTGCTGGGAATGGGAGGTACACCTTCTTCCTGGAAGTGCCCATTGGAAGATGGAAGGAGAGAAATGATGCATCTTGAGGGTTTTCCCTTTCAGTAATGGGGATTGCCTGGAGAGCTGTACCACTGAGAGTATCCCCAGCCCTTTCTTAAAATGTATTTTGAGACAGGGTCTCTCTAAGTTGCCCAGACTGGCATTGATATGTTCATGCTGGCTGGAACCACTTGAACCATGCAGCCATTCCATGCATGGCTGTGCAATCAGGCAGCGTAGGATAGTCCTGTGTATACTCTGGTGGTTTGGTGTTGCCTGGCAATGAAACATACGAACTACAGCTCTGTGGTGGATGTGCCTCCCTCATAGGGGGATTATAGCTTGTGCCACTATGCCTGGCAATACCCTATCCTTGTTTTCTTCTTTAGTCACTTCTCAGACAGATTTTGAGGACCTCATGGCGTCAGTGCCTCATCCTTATTGGTTAGAGGGTGGCTAGAGGGTGCCCTCCCTGAGGCAGAAATGTGCGTTGGACAGATTGGGGCTCCAAACCACTGGCCCACTTGGGATGCAGGCTGTGTGAGTGAATTGACAGGCCAGTGTCCTGCTGTAGAGATTTGAGGCCCAGTGGCCTTTGTGCTGGCCCCTACCCCTGCCTGACCTTTCCTGATGCAGGGGCCAAGGAAGGAACAACTGCATATAGAATTGCAGGGATAGTCACTCTTCCAGAGAGGGCAGGTAGGGTGTGCAGAGACTGTATGGTGGGTCTGGCGGGCGGGTCTGGGGTTGCTGTCCATCCTGAGCCACTCCAAGGGTCCTAAGCCTCCTCCAGGGGACACTGGCCTCTTGGGTTCTAAGCAGTGGCCTTCAGGTGTGTCTGACACCCACTACACACGAGGATAACGTGCTTTGGAAGACTGACTCATGCAGTGGGGCTTTTAGGAGACGACAGTAACTTTCAACACTGAGTTTATCTGCTCAAGTTGTGTTTTGGGGGCGGTTTCATTTTCTAGACAAGCCATGAACGTGGAACTTGCAGCATACAGCCCTCAAAGTTTCTGTTACTTTGCCTGAATAGAGTGTCCTCTCCACAGATAGTCCACCAATAACATTCTTAGATGCAGGAATTTCTGGCATTCCAACTCAGTTCGTTTGGGCTTCGGAAGACCAGTAACTAAATGACAACTGGGTCCATGGGGTCTGGGGATGAACATTTGGAGGGCCCTCTGCGGTCATGCATGCTGCCACGCTGCAGCTGCAGGTGCGGAAAGGAGTGCAGGTGACTGGAGAGCACGCTCTGAACCACATGGTGGAGGCCCCATCCCTGCCTGTGCTCGGAGAAGGCTTGATGCTGGGCTTGCCAGGGATCGAGCCAGCAGCCATGGAGGTAAGTGAGGTTGAGGGGAGGCCAGGATACAGCAGGGAGTGTGGGGGTGTCATGTACCCAAAGCTGTGTTTTCCTCACATTACACTTCATTTGGGCAGTATGCTTTCTAAACATTAGGTCAGACTTGGGGGACAGTTCTCTCCAGCAGTGGGGCAGGCCTGACCCTGGAAGAGCTGGAGTCAATGCCTGGCTTCCTGCTCTTACAGACCCATTATCCCAGATAGCATGCTTGGTTTTTCCTGTGTGTCATGGTGACTGTTGATTGTGTGGTGCCATGGGGTGGGCAGGTGGGAATGCATCCCAGGCCCCTGTGAGCCCCAGAACGTGGCCAGATGAACAGGCATGGTTCCTCTCCATTTTTTCAATGTAACTCACATACGAAAATGATTTCTCCATCCATCTTGTGTGCCTGCTGTCATTGGGGTTCCCAGGCTGAGGAGCTTTTTGCTAGCTGTCCTTTTTTTTTTTTTTTTTTTGCTCCATATCTTCAGCTGGATAGGATGGTACTAGCCCCTGTTTGTTCCCCAACGTAAGCTTGGGGCCTGCTTCAAACCCTCTTGTCTGCAAGGTGTTAGAGGGGCCATCCTGCAGAGATGACAATTCCGAGGGTGCCTAGATGGTTTTATGCTGCCATGTGGTCTCAGGCTGGGAGCTTGAGCATACCCACACACCTGCTTGTTTTCAGGGGAGTGCCCCATGTCCATGTGTGATGGTTTAGCCCTCCTGCAGGAGCTGTAGAGTGGTGATTATGGCCACCTGCACTGTCTCCCAACTTGCCTGTTACAGAGTTCATTGGTTCTAAAGTATTGGAGGTGCTTTTGAAAGATAAGGCATGAGGCCTGCTCAATGGGGGCTTGGGCAGTGGGCAGGAGAGCTCAGTGCCATGCACCTCAGTCCAGGTCAGTAGTTACCCCAGGTCACAGTTTGGGCTGAGATCTCAAAGGCCTGAGCCTGAAGGGGAGCCAGGTGGGGGGCTCCGTGGCTCCAGGTCATCACAGGTAAGGAGCAGATGACACCTGTAGAAATCCTTCACCCTCATGCATTTTCCTGCATTCCAGGGGCTAAATGTACCTTTCTGTTGGGGAAAACAGGATGAAGGGAAGACTAGCTTAGGGGATGACTGCCTCCCTGAGTTTACCCCCAGAAGGGAAGGTGGTCCTTTGCTGCCTTCTGCTTTGGGCTAGGGCCGTGATGTGATGTTGGGAAGGTGCTGGAAGATAGCCATGCTGGAGGAGGAAGAGTGTATGTAGGGATGAGTAGCTCACCACCTTATGCCCACGCTTGGGGATAAGTTCTTCCTGGCAGTTCAGGTGAAATTTCCAGTAATTATAACCTTGTATTTTATTTCTGGTATCTATCCAGTGTGCAAGGCTTGTATTTGTGTTTCAAAAGACTGTTAATAACAGGGGGCAATAAGGCATGTGTTGGGAGCCTGCACAATGTGCTGGGCACAGATGTGGCTGGGAGTCCTCATTGACCAAAGGCACTGGGCTCATGAGGTTACTCCCCATAGGCTACCTACCTGCTCCCTCCTGGGTGTCTGATCAGAGGCCCCAGGGACAGGTGTGGATGAGACCTGCTGGCTTTTTGAGGGGTGCGCCACACAATAGGTTGGCTCTAAGAACTCTCTTAAGGGTAGGTGAACTGGCTGGCTGTAGCTTCTGTAGCTTGGTGCTTGGTTGTACCATTGGAAGTTACAGATGTGCCCTGCAGTGCCACTCGCTAAATTTAGCAGCCTGGATAGGCTTGTTTTTGAGGCTATTTTGTCTTCCTGCTGAAAATGAAGGTTAGGCCCGGCAGTTCCTTAGGTAGAGCAGATCTTGAATCCTTTCTCCTCCAGAGCCAGCCGCCTGGGAGGCGCTCACGGCTCTCTCCATGATGTCCTTTCAGGTGTGGCCAACGAGGATGCCCTCGCTGAGGAGCGCATGCGGAGAGGCCAGCATGCCTTGCCGGCCCAGCCTTCCAGCTCCCGCCCGCCGAAGCCGCCCCGTCCCACCCCGATGGCTAGGTCTGCGCCGCACTACGTGCTGGAGGAGGATGAGGAGCAGGACAGGCCGCGGGTCCCTGGTGGCTGGGATGCCCCCATGAGCTCAGCAGGTGTGCAGAGGGAACCTGGTGTGGCGCATCCCCCACGTGACTCTCCCCCACACCAAAGACAGCGAGGACAGAAGTCACGCCTGTGCTGCTGCGTCCTCACCTGAGTGGGTGGGACAGGGACAGGTGCCAGGCCCTCAGGTAGAGATGCAGGTGGAGTGGCGCCTGAGCCCACCCTCCCCTTTGAGCTCTCCTCCACCAAAAGCTTGCCATGATTAAAGCAAGGCCCCCATGTTCCGTGATGTGCACAAATGTGTTATCTGAGCATCACCTTAGTGCTCCTTCTTGTCACGTGAACAAGGGGTCAATGTCATTTGTACTCGTGCACTCACAGCCACGTTTGCCTCTGCATTAGCTTCACTTTGGAGGCAGAATAGGGCCAGCCTGCCAGGTCCCCAGCAGAGCATACCATGCTGTACCACAGTGATAACAAGGGTGTAGGCCCAGCTCCACCCTCTCCCTCTGGTCTCAGAGTGAGTACCCTAGAAAACTGTGAATGTCTAGGTTCACTGTAGTCTATACCGCAGGTTTTCACTGTGTCAACCAGGTGGTTGTAGAGGAGCTGCCAAGGATTCAGTGTGGTGCAAGTGTGCTCATAGGGTGCTCTCTGCTTGAGACTTGAGACTGAAGCCTACGGTTGCTTTTCTAGAACTGGTTAAGGATCAGTTCCTTAAGTCCCTTTTGGGTCTTCTCAGCTGGAGCTGAGCACCCTTGGGGTGTGAAGAGAGCAGGAAGGGAGTGATGGGAAGAACCACCCTGCAGGCAGGTGTCACCTGAGCTGGAGGGTGCCCAGCTGTTCTGCATGGTGTGATCCTGAGTGGTCCAAGGGTTTGGGGGAGGGGTCGTGTGACAAAGTACAGAAGAGAGTAGCTTTATAGATTCCGCTTCCCTGATGGAAGGGCCATGTAAATATTGGAAAGGCATTGTCATTTCTCATGTTGCCGCAGTAAGAAGTCCGGGTGTAGCTGGCCTGAGGTTGCTTAGCTTCAGATAGGCCAGACCCTGGTCCAGAGGATCCCTGCCCTCTGCAGCAACTGACTGCTGTGTGTTCCCCGGGCCTCCCGGCACTGTGGAGGAACCCAGGGAAAATAGGAGTTTGTAGGAAGAACTGAAAAACTATTCTTCCCTCATGGATCTCATGGCTTTGGCATTTGGAGTCATGGAAAGGTCATGAACTGGGAAACCAGCAGATCCCTCTTCAGGGACGGGCATAGCAGCCTGTGTTCTCACAGGACCTGGTGCTTTCTCTGGTGGCCTTCTGGGCTGGCGCTGTGAGGGCTGGTAGCAAGCCTTCTTCATATCTTCATGCTGAGGGGCAGGAAAGCATCCTGGAAACATTGCTGAGTAGAGCATGGAATAAACTGCAGTTAGACCCCAGAGTAGTCACTGACCTCTGGACAATATGGCCACGGCCATGGAGTTATCTCCAGTTTGCTCATGGCCTGTGCAAACCTGGGTACACTGAGCCTGAGGAGCAGGTAGGCCCAGGTCACTTTGCTCATACAGACTTCCCTGGCTTCAAGATCCCTGTCACAGGAGGCTTAGATGACTTGGCCAGGCTTCCTTCCATGTGTTCCAGTGTGGTTCCTGGAAGTCCTGTAGTGCCACTGTGATGGATTTGAAAATCTTGGCTATTATTTTTTCTTTTTTTGATAGTGGGGATCAAACTTAGGACTTTGTGCTTAGCAGATATGTGCTGTACCGCAGAGATGTATCCTTGGCCCTAATTTCTTAAGAAGAAACACATTGAACACTATCCCCCAGAAGTTTTGGGGACCCCCACCTGTGCTTCAGCTGTGGGTGACAGAGTTCACAAGCCACCTGCTGGAGCCAGCTAAGGGTAGCTGTGTCCTGGACTGAGCTCTGTACAATTGATTGCACATGTGGGGTGTGTCCAGGATACATCTCTAGTAGCAGAGGTCTCAGGTGACCCCAGAGTTAGGTAGCATTGTAATACCTTGGCAGTGCTGGGGATCTGGTAGCTGTGCAAGTTACTGGGACAGGAGTGAGGGCCCCACCGTGTGCTTTCATGTGGTAGCACTGGCCTTTTCAAGATGTTTGTGGTGCGGGAGAAGGAGCTGAGGGCCTCCTGCACGCTAAGTGCTTGCTTTTGCCACCCAGCCTGTCCCCAGCTTTGTCCCCAGCCTGTCTGCTCCTTGACTGTGCTGTGCTCTTGAACCACTGACTTCCTCTAAAACCAGTGGTGCCTGGTGGAGAGGGTAGCGATATCTAGGTGGACGCAGCAGTTCATAAAAGGGAAACTTGAAAGAAGACCTCACAGTGTTTTGCATTTGTGGGTGCCACACACTGTCTGGAACATGTGACCCTTAGAAAGGGAAATTTAAAGTATTGGGAAGTTTATTCAACATGAAGCAGGTATGTGTGAAATGATGAATAGATGGATTAAGTTTCATGTATGTTTGAAGAGAACTGCTTGTCCTGAGTGCCGGGACTCCTGGCTGCAGCTGGAGGCTGTGCTGAATGTCTCTTAGCTCCCGACCCCTGTGCCTGCTCCTACGGCGACTAACACACGCACACTGCTGTGCTTCCCTGCTTTGCATTCTGTATGGCCATGCTTGAGAACCTTTCCACCCTGTGGAGGAGGCTGGCCTTCTGGGCCTCCTGTAGTTCAGGTTCCGTCCATGCTTTGCCCAGCCCCCTGGTATGGGTGAGGTGTTAGCCGTTGCAGAGCTGAGAGCTGACCCCTTCGTCCAGAGGGTGAGTGACTCTCCTTTGACTTTGGCTGGATAAGTGGGTCATGCAGGCATTAGCTTTAAGCGTAGAGCAGAGGGAGAAAGAGAGGTGCTTTCTCATGGTGGGAACTGAGCCATGAGAATGACCCTCCACGGCAGGGTGTCCCATCAGAGGTGTGGACTGGAGGATGAGCAAGTGGGTGACAAAGGACAGGTGAAGCCCCTGCCCTGACAGCGCTGGCCTTCCGGCCTAGTGCGGTGTACACACCTCCCTCCATGTGCACTGTGACCTCTCAGACCATTGGCAGAGGTTCAGTGTGCAGTTTCTGCTGAGGCCGGATGCCAACTGAGGAAGGCCATGTTTGTTGCTTTTGTCTTACTGTGGGGAGGTACTGTGGCCGCCTGACTCTCATGGCAGTGTTTCACAAGCCGTGTTTCCTTAGGATTTAAAGAAGGTGGCAAGAGGAAGAAGCAGAAGCAGAGAGAGGAGTCGAAGAAGAAGAAGTCGACCAAAGGGAACCACTAGGCTGAACTTGCCCGGCAGACATGCAGCCCCGCCCGCTCACGGGTGGCCGGCCCGTGCTAGGTAGTGGCTGCCTTTCAGTGCTGTCCAGGGCCACCTCGCTTAGCAGGATATGGACGTGTGCTCACGGATCGTAGGATCAGGGGCCTCGAGACAGGTGACACCATGGGTGGCTTGGTAGACGTTTGGGATACAGCTCGACTTCCTGACTCCGCTTTTCCCCAGCACTAAATCCGTCAGCGCTTTCCTCTAGCTGTAAGCAGTCCATCTTTTTCTTTCTACCTTCTCCACCACTATGCCTCTTATGAGGTCTTTGTAGCTGTGAGGTGCAGGAAGGTGTGGACAGGGCATGGGCCTACTATCGGGAGATGATGGTCCTTCTCCGTGGCGCCAGTGTGTGAAGTGATATGCAGTTCACTGCAGCGTAGTTTTGGAGGTTGTGACTGCAATCAGCTCAGTGGCTTCTGGTCTGTTGAGAGCAGTCCTACCACAGGCCATCGTGAGTCACTGCAGGTGGAAAATCATTCCTTCTAGTCATTGCCCTAGTTCCAGTTCTCTCCAGGGAGTCTGAAGTCGACTCTATATATTGTTTAGTGTGTTTGCTAAACCTCATGGTTTGGATATTTTTTTTTTTTAATTTTTTTTTTAAGATAAGCTCTGTTCAGCAAAAACATTTTTGTCTTTTGTAGGTCAGGATCATCATGCTGGGGAAAAAAGAGGCTGGCTGGTTATTTATGCAGAATCGTGGACACACACGCACACATACACACAGAATATAATCAGCTCTTGAGCTATAAGCTTCAACTAAACATTTGAGTTTGCAAACATTGATCCCCTAAAAAGCCCCTTTATTCTTTCAAGCTTCTGCCCAGCTTTCCGTGCTCGTTTCACCTGCACGATGTGTTGCTTCTTAGCCTTCTGTTTTCTTGAGCACCAGCTAGACCTCGGGTGTTCCCTGACTTCCTGCCTGCATGTTTCTCCTGGGGATGCTGTCCACAGTGTTGCCCCTCTGCCCTCTTGGGAGTGAGGACACAGTGAAAACAGTGACGTGGTAAAAATCCTGCAGTCTGATCCAGCAGCCCTGAATCCAGGCAGGGGTGTTAGAACTGGAGGCCTGAAACAAGTGTCACTTGTGATTTCACACTGGTCACGTGGATTTGCTGTGTTTATTCGGATTTGATGGGAAGCAGTACAGTTGGCTGGGTGGTGAGTGGATTGGATTGAATGCTTGTTGTGGAAATTGTCACCCTGAGCTGTAATGTACTTTAATGCTACCAACATAAATAAAATGTGTGATTAAGGCTAGCTCTCTTGCTCCTTTCATGGTATTGGTAAACTATACTATTATAAATAATAAAAGCCCTCTTCTGTGTTTCCCCTTGTGCAAGATACAGTGATGTTGGGGCAGAAGATGGCATGCCGTCTGATGTAGAGGTTGTCCTGGGAGCTTAGCAGTTTGAGATCCTGAAATCCCTGGCATGGGCTGCTGAGGGCCAGGCTTCTATGGGATGTGGCTTACTTACTCTGAAGAGATGAGTTGTAGGTCTAGCTGCTCAGGTCCTTGCTAGGTCACCAAGGCTGGGTGGTTCCCTGCAGTCTGTACCTCCAGAGGCTGATTGGTGGGTGGTAAGGAATAAGGCTTGTCATGGTGGGCGGTAGGGTGTCACAGTCCTACTGTGCCTGCTCTGGACGAGAGCCCTCACCAGAGTGGCTAGGATCTGTGTCCTCAGATGATGCAAGGTCACCTGCAGGCTGAGGCAGCTCCTTCCCTGCCATGTGACAGGAAGGGAGCAGCGTCCACAGAGTTGCTGCTGCGTGACTGGTCAGCAGCTCGCACACTTGCTCTTCAAGGAGGAAATGGTATGAGGCACCTGGCTCCAGGGCCCCAGGCAGCATCAGTGCTGGCGCTTCTCAGCAGCTGCTCTTTGCCACCATCAGGGCTGCTTCACTGTCCCCATGGACAGCTGTGGGAACCTACTGGAGGTTGGTGCAGCAATGCCTGGGTGTCTCGTCCTCATCTATGTTTGTCACCTTTGGGTGCTGGGTGGCAGTGGTGTTGGGACTGTCAGGTGCCCCTGTATCTCACTGGGCACCCCTTGCTCCCTCAGTTAGGATTTAAAGGCTGCTCAACCCACTTCAGATCAGGAGGAAGTGTGAACATGTGGAAATGATTCCACCCTCAGCAGGAAGTGACTGGAAAGGTGTGCTAAAATTCCCAGGGTCTCTTTCCCCAGCCCTTTTCCACTACAGGACCAACCTGATGCCAAGAAGCCATTCCTCAGGTGGCTTTTTTTTTTTTTTTTTTTTTTTTTTTTTTTTTTTTTTGTCTTTGAGATAGTGTTCTGCTCTGCAGTTCGGGCCGGCCTTGAACGATCCTCCTGCCTCAGCCTCCTGAATGCTGGGAGTACAAATGTGTGCATCACCAAGCCCAGCAGGTGGCTTTCTGTTGTTGCCTAAAAAGGTTTTACTGTGCCACCTTTGTGTGGAAGGGGACCTAACACCCATGTGGTCTGAGTTCCAAGTTTGATCCTGTGCCCTTCCTTGGGCCAATTGGTCGGGCCTGAGGCTGTGCTCTCCCTGGTACCCACAGGCCTCCACTGGGGATCAGTGCTATCCTGGAGACCGATGCTACAGGTAGACACTGGGCATGAATGGCTTCTCTTGGGTGATGCTGCACTCTGTGCTCTATGGTCTGGCTCAGAGCTGAGACCCCTGAGATCTGGGGATCAGTTTGGGGATGGAGTCTTTGAGGGAGCCCAGGTGACTGCTGGTGGCTCTGCTGATAGAGTACAGGGACTGGGTTGCAGGCTGAGGATAGTGTCTCTCAGATACCGAGGATACCCAATGAGAAGCATGTGTCCCTGGTGGTAGAGCTGTGAGCCAGGCTGTGCCAGCCATTTCTACTCCTTCAGGAGCAGCAGTCCCTTTCTTACCTGCAGGAGAGGTAGGAGGAGGTGACAGACTGGGACCAGCACCTGGGGCAGGTGTGCCATGAAGTTGTGGAGAGGCTGGAGCCCCTGGGAGGGTGGGAGGGGCTTGGTGTGCATATCTGTCTCTGGGAGGGGGTCGGAACAGTGACAAGGGCAGGCACAGAGGCAAGAGGAAGACAGATACCACACGGCCCTCTTGTGGCTCTGTGGGGCTGGGCCTGCTGAAGATGCCAAGGTAGAGTTGCTGCAGAATTTGGTGTTCCCTAGTTTTACATTTTCCATGCACTGAGGCAGAGCCAGGTAGGAGGGGGCCTGTCATGTCTCCTGGGAGCTTGCACAGTGGCACAGGGTGCCGAGCACCTTTGCCGAGTGCCTGGATGGAGCACCTGATTCTGGATCCACATCCTGGGTCCACACTTATATCCAGGACCCACTTCTTTCTGAAGTGACAACAGTAGTGAACATCCTCTCCACACCGCACTCTGTCCTCTTTCTGAAGCTTAAGGGGGTGGTGTCTGTGGTGTGGTGAACACAGCAGACCTCATGTGCTGGGCTGTGTGCCGTCGGGAACCCTTTATAAGATTCTTCCAGAAAACCATGCTTCTTTTTGGTTGATGATACCCATTACTGTGCGCGCAGGAATACAGTGCTGGTTAGTTCCATTAATTTGTCTGTCCACCTGTCCATTCCTCCATCTGCCTTCTCCATCTGTCCATACACTTACCCAGCCATTGTTGTCCCTCCATCATTCACCCATGCATTCATTTACCTATCCATTTCACCCTCCTCGCCACACATACATTGTCCACCTGCCCCTCCATCACCCACCACCTGTCCATCATCCCTGTTCACCTTCCCACTCATTTACCCATTCATCCATCTATCCATTCATCTATCCATCATCCATTCCTTATCACCCACCCTTCCATTCATCAGCCCTCCCTCCCTTCCTCTCTCCTTCCTTCCCTCCATTTGTTTGTTTATATGTCCATCCAGTGAATCCTAATTTTGTGTCCAGCTTTTACTGGGTACTGTTGGGGACACAAAAGAGGTAGCTAGGTGTTGCCATCTTGCACTGCAGGAGGACAAGGTGTTGTCCATGGGGCAGGATCAGTCATCACAGTTCATCCTTATCAGGTCCATGTGGACCACAGCCTGAGATGTTAGAAGTTTCCAGAGCAGAGACACCTGCAGAAGGAAGGCTCAGGATCACATGTCATTTGGTGGATCACTTGTCACCTGGTGGATTGTCACCTAGTGGATCAGTGAGGTCCCTGTTACCTAACCGGCTGTCACCTGACATCACACCTGGTTCAGGAGGCCATGCTCTCTGGAGGACTTTTTCAGGCCTGGGACACAGTTGTGTCAAAGCTGGCCATTAGGACTCCAGAGCCCTGCCTGGCAAGAAAGGGCCCCATGACATCTACCTGGCTGTCTCAGCTGACCCAAGGCCATGATGGCAGGAGTGAGAAGAAGGAGAGACTAGGTCTGATGCCAGAGCATGGGAGGATATGGTAGGGGATACTGCCCTGATACTGCTCCAGGGGCATGTTACTTGCAGTGGGGACAAGCAGCTTCTTGTGTGGCTCCCCAAGGAGACCATACTGTCAGCTGCTGACAGCCCCCCTTGTAGCCCATCTGAGCCAGCCTGTGCTCTGCAGTGGGATGGCAGCATCCTGACCCTGGCATGGCCTTACGGGGAGCAGGGTCTTTGTGAAAGGGATTAAGAGTGGCCTCCAAGTCTGAGACTGGGTGTCCTGGAGGCAGAGATGGGAGTGACCATCTGGAAGCCAGAGGCCTGGAGCCCTGAGCAGGTGATTGGAAGAGGTGGAAGGACCTCCTGAGCCTTGCTATGTCAGGGCTTGAACTCTTGTGCCCTAACTGCTTGTGACCTGGATACCAGACGCTGACACACTGGCCAGCTGCACTTATTTCCACTGGAAATGTGGGCTGGTTTGTGGTTTCTGTGTCTTAGCACCGTGTCCCAGCTGTTTTGTTTGTTCACTTTTTAAAGTTTTATTTGTGCTAAATTGTTCAGGCTGTCTTCACATTCACAAATAGTCTTCTTGCTTCAGCCTTCCAAGTAGCTGGGACTCTAGTTGTGTGCCACCACACCTGGCCCCAAAATAAATTATGAAAAGTGCTAAGTATTTCTGTACCTTAGTAGGAATTTTTATTTATCCACTGATGACTCAATAAGACTGGAATGAAGATGGGTTTCCTAGTGCAGTGTTGCCAGTGGCCACAGGAGGGCGTGTCCGTGAAAGGAAATGTTACTGAGCATCGCGAGGGCAAGCCACTAACATGAGCACTCGGGAACACATGCACACATTTACATAAACGTATGCAGACACATGCAAGGACCGCATACATTTATACATGTACATGAAAACATGTAAAGAACACAAGTGTGCATGCAAATTTATACAAGCCGTGTACACACATGCACATATGCAAATCCATATGCATGCGCACATGCACAAGCCATGTGAATACACATACACACATGCACATAAGCATGCATGCTCATGTGCATTCTCATATGTACCCAAATGTCCTTAGTCTCACATGCGCGCATGCTCGCGTGCGCGCGCGCACACACACACACACACACACACACACACACACAATGCAGAAGTAAATTGCCTGACTCTAATTATGTTCACATTAACCAAAGCTAAATGGAGTTGAAGGGAAGAGGCCTGAGTACTTACATCATCCCCTCGGCAGAATAAAATAATTACTTTTATGTTGCTGGGGAGCTCCTGTTCGGCACCAGGCTCAGACCCTGCAAACGCCCCCCCAAGGAGTCTCGGGAACCCAGTTGCCTAGGACCAAACCAGCATCGCTCTTTTCTCCTGCATGCACGTGCCCAAAATATTTCTGACAAATGGTGAATTGTGTTTTCCTGGGATAACAGAGGAGCACAAAGCCCACTGTCATGATTTCCAACACTTTCTGCCTGAAGTAACCAGACCCTGCTGAGCCTCTGACTTTAATGTGGCAATAGGGAGAGATCCGCATTGCTATGAGCATGGGGCAAGTGTCTGTCTTGGCCCAGAGTCACTTTTGAGTTGGCTTTCTGCAGTTTTTGTGCAACTGCCCTGTGGGTTAATGACACCTGCAGGTCTTCGTCTTTCTGCATGCAGCCTTGGGTCTCCTTCCTAGTACTGGGCAGACGTTCTACAAATTGTTATAGAAGACAAGAAAAGAGCCAAGCTAGTAGAGGAAATGAGCTAGAAGGAGAAATAATAAAAGTCACAGCTAAACCTCCCATCTCTAATAATGCTGGGGAAGGAGGAAAGTCATTGTCCTTTCCAGGGCAGCTGTGCCTCTTTAAATTGCAAGAGGCTGGGAAACATTACAAGTCTACCT